AAGTGAATCTAATGCCAGGCGCATAGCTTCCCAGTTTGCCTCTTCGTCATATAGCATTACTCGAAGAGTCGGCTCGTAGTGTTCTATTGGAAGAACAGCTTCTGCACCATAAGTTAGGAGGAATGGAGTTTCTCCAGTCGCCCCTTTTTCAGTCGTCCTAATGGCCCAAAGAACATGTGGTAGTTCATCTGCCCATAGGCCGCCTGCTCGTTCAATTTTTTTCTTGAGACCGTCTGAGATGATTTTATTAAAGGCTTCTACCTGGCCGTTTGCTTGTGGACGGCCGACAGATGCAAAGTAATGTCCAATTCCTTGGTCTCCCAACCAGCTTTTGAGAACAGGCGTCTCAAATTGGGGACCATTATCAAAAACCATAGACATGGGAACCCCGAACCGAGTGATGACGTTTTTCCAAATGAATGAAATTACATCTTTCGTCTTGATTCCCTTTACAGCCTCCGCCTCTACCCATTTAGTGAAGTAGTCAACGGCAACAAGTATATACCTTCTGCCGCCTGTAGCAGGCGTATATGGACCCAGAATGTCCATGCCCCACTTAGCAAACGGTAGTGGGCTGTGAATGGTAGTGAGGTCAGTAGCCGGACGGTGAATTAATTTGCCAAACCTTTGGCACTTGTCACATTTTTTCACCATCTCCATTGCATCTGCTTCCAAAGTAGGCCAAAAGTAGCCCTGCCGCCTATATGGGAAGCACAGAAACCAGAGTGAAGATCATCTAGTATCTCTCGTCCCTTTTCAGGAGTAACACACTTTAAGAAGGGTTGAAGGTGCCCCCTCTTGTGCAGTTCCCCCTGTATCATTTCAAAACAGGAGGCTCGTTTTTTCAGTGATGCCGCCTGTTGAGGATCATCCGGCAGTGTACCGTTTGTCAGATATGCCCTGATTGAATCCATCCAGGTTGAGCTTCTGTCTAGAATTCCAATAGGATTTTCCTCGATGCTTCTCTTCTCCATTACTTCCCAAAACACAGTTCGAGGAGTATCGGAGGAGGCGGATGATGCTAATTTCGAGAGTGCATCTGCCTGGTTGTTTTCTGATCTCGGTACTTGGATCAGATGGAAATTCTCAAGGGAGCCGACTGCTTGTCGGACCGCCTGTAAATATTTGATCATGGCCGGATGTGTTGCTTCGTATTCGCCATTGTACTGACTATCAGTTGTGAATCAGAACAGGCGTCTATTTTCCTTGCTTTTCTGGCGGACTCTGTCTGGGACGCCTTTCTTTTTCTGTCGCCTGTTTCTTGAACAGGCGCACTTTCCTTGACATTGTCAAGGTCTGTTTTTTCTCCACTTGACCCAGTGGCCTTAGCAGTGGGTTTGACATCCGAGAGATAGCACTCTCGGGCCATCCTCTGATCTCCCCTTAGGGAGCCGACTGTTCCATTGTCCCTTTCAAACTTAAGCAGCATAAGTGACGGGATTATAACAGCCTTGGCACTATTCAGGGTTGGGCGACCCAGAATCATGTTGTAGGCAGAGAGTTCCTCTACAACTAGGAATCGGACTACCATGTGTCGTCCTTCCCCTTTTTCGCCCAGGCGGACGGGTAGATCAACTCGTCCCAGTGGGTGGACGACTCCTCCTCCAAACCCTATTAAAGGGTGGGAGGCCGGATGTATGCAGTCCGTCTGATATTTCAGTTTTGACAGACATTTGCTGCTGATGAGATCTGAAGAGCTCCCAGTATCTATGAGGATTCGACCAACTCTCTGGTTGGCCACTTTACATTCAATAACGAGAGGGTCGTCATGCGGCCCCCTTATTCCTCCTAGATCCTCTTCAGTGATGACAATCTCAGGAAATGTATATTTGGACGGTCGTTCTTGGTGAACGGAATTTACATCTAACCGCCTTATATTATCTTTGTTGCCCCTAATAGTGGGGCCGCCTCCTGAGAAGCCGCCTGCAATGGTGTAGACGACTGCATCATCTGTATCGGAACTGTCGGCCTGTTGATTCTTTTTGGCCGACTGCTTTTTTGAGGAAGTATTCCCCGTAGATTTCTTGACATAAGTGTCAAGATCACCTTGATCAGCCAAGCGGTCTAGGTACCGCATGAGACTAATGCAGTCGTTGGTGTGATGACCAACGTCATCATGATAAGCACAGATTTTGTCTTGGTTCCGGTTGCTCGCAGAACCCTTCATGGGGAGCGGTTTCTCAATTGAGAGCCGTCCCTTTATTTCTTTTAGGATAAACTGGTTATCCTTGTTAAACACATACTTTGGGGAGTATGGTTTGAATTCCTTTTTCTTCTTGGCCGGCTGTTTAGAGGAATCAGCCGCCCAGACCCCTTTTCTTTTATCTTTGTTGGACGACTGTTTCTGTCGTCCTTCTCTATTGTCGAACCTCTTTCCGTCCGACTGTTTCATTGTACACAGATCAGTCGCCTGTATATAGGCTTCTGCTTCAATCAAGGCCTCTTGAAGAGTCGCCACCCTTTTTCGAACTAAATCAAATTTGAAGGTAGACCCGTCTTTGAGACCTCTAAAAAAGTCAGTATAAGCTACCTCATCCGGTAACCCTTGAATCTGTATTCTCATCAGGTTGAACCGCCTGATGTAGGAACGAAGCCCCTCCTTTTCACCCTGTTGAATTGTTCCCAAATCAAGGGTCGTTTTCTTCGCAGGGATGTTCATTGCAAAGTTGGAGGCAAATAAGTAAGCAAGCGTCCTGAAACTGTTTACACAACCAGTCGGCAGGTTGCCGAACCATTGCTGTGCAATTCCCTTGAGAGTTGCTGGGAAACACTTGCACCAAGTGGGATCATCCAACCCTTGAAGGTACATCAGGTTGGTGAATGCCATCAGATGGTCTTCCGGGTTAGTAGTGCCATCATAGGCGCCTACTAAAACATTTTTTACTTTGGCCGGCTGAGCGGCTTCAGTAATTTCCTTGGAGAAGGCCGACGGCTGTTCACCAAGTCTAAGCAGCCGTAGCTGCCAGTCCATAGGTTGGACGTTTTTTGCTGCAGGTCCACCAAATGGAGGTGGCTGCATAAAATATTGTTGTTGCGGCACAAATGGCAAATTTGGTACCGCCTGCGCACTATGAAAGCCAGACTGTCGGGAGGTGCCGCCTGACTGACTCTCATGGTACGACTGAGTTGGCCTCATCGAGGCATTTCGCAAACTGTCCTGAAAATTTGAAGTAGAAGCCGACTCTGATAATCGGTCACTCCTCTTCTGCTCTAGCAGGTGCCGAGCATCTGTGAACGTTTGCTTTGACCCGTCCGCCTGAATATGACGAACCGGTTTCCTATTTCCCGTAGGATAACGGAGTTTTGTGAAATCAAGAGCAGACGGCTCCCGCTTCTTAGATTTAGGATGGGGAGTCGCCTCTCGCCCTTGAACTGGCTTCCTCTTCAATGAAGTGGAAGGTTTTTTGGCCGCCTGCTCTTTGACTGAAGCAGGCGGTTTTTTGTTGATCAACTCTTGGATCTCTCCCTTGAATCCCCTCATGAAGGTCATGAGTTCGTTCCTTGTGATCGGAGCAGACCCATCAGTCGGCTGTTGCCGAGCAAGCGGTGCGCCTGCTGGCTCGCTTCCTGTTTGAAGATACTCCCGTTCCCTTATTTCAGTATGACGGGTACGGCGGGCCCTTAGGGTCCCGTCTGGAGCTGTATGAGTTTCAACTTCAAATTCACTTTCGGTATCATGGTCCGACTGAACTTGAGGGTCGTCTAGGGGACGCCTCTCTTCTGGAGTCGGTACAGACTTGGATGCCATCTCTGAAGTACTCTCCCCACAGACGGCGCCAAATGTTTCGGGGTTTTCTGATGTCCTGCGGGAGAGTTACAATTCCGAGACTGGAACCGGACGCCTGTACCTGCAAAATAACGGAGACTCCTGAGAGCTCCGCCTCCAACGGTCAAGTTAGTACCTGATTAAGGAGTAATTAATACAGAAATTAAAGTAATAAGGTCTCTCTAGGTGAGAGTATTTAATGTAGGTAATCTGCTTTGCTAGCGAGATCAGCCGGTTATTAGTGTGTTCTGTAAATTATTCGGTCCCCTGATTAATGAGGATTAATCGAGTATTTATAGCCTTGGGAAGCGTGCAACTCTCTAGGTTTAAGGTAAACCTAGGGCCGAACGGGCTTCTAGACTGAAATGGGCCTTGATGGCCGGTTGTCCCATTTGGCATGGGTGGACACGTGGCGTGTCTTAAGTGGTCCGTGGAGGACGCGTGGCGGAACCTGGTTGGTCCACTTGTCAAACGGCGCTTGGTGGATAAAAATCCCCTAATCAGCAGTGGCGCCTGGCCAAGACGCCGCCACGGTGGGAGTGGCGCCTGGCCAGGACGCCAGGACCGTGGGCGTGGCGCCTAGCCTGGAAGCCACCACCACGGTTTCGGCGTCCTGGCCAGGCACCACCTCCACGATGCCGGCGTTCTAGCCAGGCGTCACCGCCATGGCATCGGCGTCCTGGCCGTGCGCCCCGACCATGACGATGGTGGTCCATGGTCACGCCTCCGATGATGTTTTACCTCGTTTTGCTGCGACGACGACAGCTCTTCGGCGTCCCTCGGCTCTCCGGTCTCCCGCGTGGACCCAGTACGGCTCCACATTTTTCGATGTCAGAATTTTTCGTTTTATGGTAAGATTTCACAAATGGCCAAAAGTGTCAAACCAAGTGTCTTTTTCAATTCGATTTTCGATGTCAGAGTTTTCCGTTTTTGGTAAGATTCCACAAATGGCCAAAACTGTCAAATCAAGTGTCTTTTTTAATTTGATTTTCCTACGTCATAATTTTTCGTTTAGAATTCACAAATGGGCAAAAGTGTCAAACCAAGTATATTTTGGGGGCTTTATGTAGTAATTTGTGGGCGATATTTTGATAAATCCCCACCGTGTCCGTGTTGTGCCGTGTTTTTTTTTCGTGATGGGCCGGCAGGCCTCGAGCTGGCCTGGCCCAATGCCAATCTTATCCAATGACTACAGAATGGTACTAATATTGAGCACCGGGTTGGAATGTAAACATGCTGACAAACACTAGTAACAGTTTAACAGACCCCGCCTTTATCGACGTCGTTTTCCCGGCCGATTCAATTTTTGAATTTGGTTTGGCCATAACCTTAGTTCACCATCTCTCCCAATTATCATCATCTTCATCACTCCATTTTCGATTATTTCTTAAATGTAAGTTTCAGTGTTGATATCTGTCGCTTCTTTCGAACTTCAGTAATAACTCCAGAAACTTTTGTTATACTTTGCAGTTCATCAATGGCGAATTCCGATATTACTTCCTCCAACGACTCCCTGGTGATATTTCTCTCTTCGTAATTTGCGGTTTTCTATATGTATCTTGGATTACTTACTGAATGAATGAGTCAAAAACCCTAATTTTTTTAAAATTTGATTTCATCTTTTATTGTTTTGCAGAAGAAAGAGAATTTGGCACTAACACAGTCTGCTAAACTTGCGGTATGACAATCTTTGCAATCCTTACTCATTTCCTATCGAATTTGCAAATGCGATGTTCGATTCATAGTACTTAAATTTTGACACATTTTTCCCTTCTCTTATTCGTTGTTTTTGGAGTTAGGAACTAAGTGAATCGAGGACAGAGTTGTTGAGTAGGATCCAGGGCTTAAAGCAGGTGAATATCTTTCTTGATTTGCATGTTTTCTGGGATCGATGTGTTTGTAATTTGCTACCTGTTTATGATTTTTTGCGTGCAGGATTTGCAAAATTGGAGGTCTAAGTTAGATAATCAAGTTCAGAGCCATCGGAATGTAAGCTTCAATCTGCATTTTTCATTTCAATTTAACAAAATGGTTAGATAAGAAATACGGAGTACTTTAAACTACTCTCTCTGTCCCAAATTGTTTGCACAATTTGCTTTTGCTTGGGATCCAAAATGATGTTATGTATAACTGTATAAGTAAAAATTACAGAAAGTTGCTTATATGACAATATAAACAAATCTATTGGGATCTCATGTTCTAATTTATAAATAAATGGGAATACATGGTCCACGTTGAGGAACTTAGGCTTTTATGACCCTCAAATTCCATGATTGATTTTGTGCTGTTTTTTATTCTTCCTATGTCTACTTTTATTGTCATATACTTCGTACATGGAACTCTTATGTTTTACCTTTTGTATATAAATGTTCTTCTTTGTAAGAGTGACACCTACTTCTTTCCTTCATGTACTTTTGAGCAAGGTATTGTAGTGAATGAACTTTTCTCTAAAGAACTTTGGGATTTTAGTTTGTCTAATGTACACTCCAAAGGACTCAATCAGGAGCTTCTCTCAAAAGATTAAGTAATAACTTAGACCTAGTTAAAGAAATGTAGGGGTTAAATGGAGTAAGAAATGGTTTTGGCGTGAGAAGGTAGGGGTTGTGTGTTTTAGTGTTGGTGGCTCGTGGCTGCAAAGGAGTGCTGTGCTTTGTTGGTTGGTGCTGGGAGCTAGGAGATGGGTTTTTAGGGTGTGGCTGATTGGGAAAGATATGTGAGAATGGTGGGTCAGAGGAGGAGAAGTGTGTGCGCGCTGGGTTGGGCTGGTGTGGGATGTGCAGCTTGGGCTATTGTGTTGTGTGGTGTGGTGTTTGAAAGACAGTTGGGGCATGAGTTGGTGAGTTGTGGCTGTTGCTTGTTGTGGCAGTGTGGGAAGGATACACAATACAGATGGGTATTGTTGTAAGGTAATAGGCTTGTTATATTGTTGTGTGTGGAGTGAAAACAATAGAGATGGGTATTGTTTTGTGGTGCACTGGCTGGTGTGTTGCCTTTTTTTGAGTGTGGTGTGTGCAGTTTAGGTGAGGGTTGTGATGTAGGTTAGTACAACAAGGTGTTACTGGACAGCTGGTGGCAAGGAGCGCAGGGTGATGGTTTGTGAGGGTATGGCGTGGGTATCATCGTTGTTGGCGTGGATTAAAGCTTATTTGACCCATGACCTTTAACTCCATGATGCAGATTTTAATTTGAAGTTGAAAGAAATCCAAGGAAGAATCTTTGTGTATTGACTATTAAAGTGAGGAAATTAATGAAATATGTAATAAAATATCGAATAGGTAAACACTAAATCTTGCAAAACAAGAGGGTCTCTTTCTAATCGTAATCAGAAGATGATCAATTATCACAACATATGATGTTCTTGGTTAACTAGAAATAAAGCATTGCTCAAGGATTAAATCCAAACAAAACAAATATTTTTTAATCACTGCATCCCTTAGTTACAACCCAAAAAGATAAGAATCAACTGAGCGGAAACAAAACAGCCACCTAAAACATGATAAATTTTACATGCTCAATAGTCCTAAAACTGAATGTTAGAGTATGCCTCTTATCTTTGAATGTAATCCTCCAAAAACCAAAGAGAGCAACCAACAAATTTTGATTAATTAGTGAAATGAAAACCTAAAAGCATATTGATGTAATCTATTAATCTACAAGATCAACAAGTTATCATACATATTTGAACCAATATCAACAAGTTATCATAATATAAAAAGAATTACAAGAACAATAAACCAATATCTGGATCGAAGATCATAACTGAATTTCAAAACTGATTTTTAGAAATAGAAAAAAAAGGAACTGAATCAGAACTGATTTGAAAACTGAAATCAGAACTAAATTCCAGAAATGAATTTCAAAACTAATTTTCAGAACTGATTTTGAGAACTGAAATCAGAACTGATTTTCAAAACTAAGGGCTCGTTTGGCATTACTGTGGTTTTCTGTTTTTTGGTTTTTTGTTTTTCAAAACCATATAATATGTGTCACATAATGAATAAAAAATTAGTCAAACTTATTAAAATCATGATAATTTTGAAAACTGACAACAAGAAAGAGGAAACACCCTTTTCTTGTTTTCTGTTTTTGGTTTTTTGTTTTTAAAAAAACAGAAATCTAGTAATGCATTTATGTTTGTTTGTTAAAATTATTATGTGCCTATGATATGCTCCCAAGTGTTGTTCAATCAACTAATATTTGTGAAACTGCTTGAAAGTTAGTGTGACTTATCAGGTGAAGCAAGTTCATCAAATTCATTGACCCTTTTTTCTAACCAAGTTAGTGAAGAACCAACTGCAGCTAATGCAAGCTAAAACATAATTTGTTGTCAAAACTTCCTCTCTTTATCTATAAGTTCCTATAAAGTTGCATTGAACCTTGAATGAAACTAATAATGGCAATAAGGGTATACGCCAAAGCTTGAAGCAAGTGAGTGAATTATATTTAATTGAAATCTATTGCGTTACTGAGACTTTGCCACCTTTGTAAGAAGTGAGTGAGGATAAGCAAAAGGATTTCAGAACTGATTCTTTAGCCTGAAAATATTCAATATGACTGGTATTCAGAACTGAAATCAAAACTGAATTTCAGAACTGATTCTTTAGCCTGAGAACATTCTCAGACTTCTCATTTACAACTCATGCTGATTAATGCTTTTATCGCCCTAATGATATTTCAGGCAGTACTAAGAGTATATGTTATATAATTATCAGGCTATATGTTATATAATTATCAGAATATAACAAGCTCAACAATCTCTATGTATTATCATTATCATGCTACAAGAGTTAAGGATTTTCACACACCCATTGCATTTTCCCAGTTCATGTAAATGCTTCATGTAAACTAGTTTTGAATTTACCTCTGCATCATTAGTTAGTCAACTAATTTTGAATTTGTCTCATTGAGTCTCGGTGATGAAACCCTTGTATACTTCCCAAGGCATTAAGTGTGCGCTTTTCTTTGGAGGCTTGATTGTACATTAGAAGAAACCTAGATAAATCCTATATTGACCAGTGGTTTAACAATAAAACCTAGATTGAATTGTGAAATAATTCAATGATTAGTTTTAAAAAAAGAAAAACATGTTACCTCAAGAGTTGTTTTCAAGGGAGGAAAGAAAATTAGAAGCTGCCTCAATGGAGAAATGCAATGAATCAACCCAAGCCACCCATCATCTACACTTACGGCAGGAGACATCAGCAATAGCAGGCGGTAGCAGCAGGTAGCAACAGGGCACAAGCAAGGTGCAAACAACCCACAACAGCAACCCTTAGCAAAAGACTAAAGCTGCCCCTTGCTTTATCTGTTCTATTTTGGCAGCACTTGGAAGAAGACAAAGATAGTTTTAGTAATTAAGGCTTATGCCACATTAGTGTAATAGCAAGTAGCTTAAATAGCAAATAGTAGAGGTAAGAAAGACATTCAGAAAATTTGTATTGGAACCTTGGAGATTGATGGCCTAAAGTCATTAAACTTATAGCTTACAACCTTTTGGTTAACTATCTATCTGTCAAACAAACATTTGTCTTCTTCCATTCTTGAGCTTCATTCTTGCTTTATCTTGTTCTTCGTATGCTGTCCGTTGCATTTGGTATCAGAGTAGGCGCTATGGCTCCGTCCTCTAACCACACCCAACACATCGCAACACTCGAATGACAGTTGGAGGAAATCAGCTCCAAGGTGGATGGGGGTGAAAACTCCATGTAAGCTATTCTGTCCAAGACCTTTGCCGAGAGTATGGAGGCTCTCCAAAAGTCACAGGCGGCGGAAGACTCAGGCGGCCGTCGAGGAGTCGAACCAACGACTCGAAGGCCGGTTGAACCGCTTCCAGGACGACCAAAACCAGCAGGTTGTTCTTATAAAGAACAGCCAAGACAAGTTCTTTGAAGAAATCAAAGGCATAATGGCGAAAGTCAGGGATCTCAGAAAACAACCGGTGGTGGTGGACGATGCGGAGGGTAGTTCGGGTGCGGGACTGAGGGGACAATTTGGGATGCCGTTTATCCGGGAAACGGAGCAACCGTGAGGGCTGGAGAGTGGGGAAGGTCATGGAGGTCGTGGGGATTGGAAATATCGGAAGTTGGATATGCCGGTGTTTTCGGGATCTGACTTCGACGAGTGGATTCTACGGGCTGAGCAATACTTTCAGTTTTATAATTTGAGGGAACACGAGCACCTACAAGTTGCGATGGTGTCCATGGAGTATGACGCCTTGAGGTGGTTTCAATGGGAGAATCGCCGCCGTCCTTAGAGAGGGTGGGGGGATCTTAAAGAATGAGCACTCTTACAATTCCGGCCGACTAACGCCGGCAGCCCTTGATGAACAGTGGCTCGCCGTTACCCACACTTTGACGGTGGCGGAGTATCGAAGGGAATTTATAGAGAAGGCTTCATCATTAACGGATGTGTCGGAGAGCATAATGAAAGGCCAATTTGTTAACGGGCTAATGGAGGATATACGAGCGGAGACCCGAATGCTTAACCCGTTTTCACTCGAACAAGCCATGGACCTTGCGAGTTGAAGAAAAGAACCGGATCCATGGGTCGAGAAAAGTGAGTGGGGGTTTTGTGAAGCCAGGACCGTACTCTTATTTTAATAAGAGTCCAGCATCTACAGTTTTAGGCGGTGGAGTTAGGCCGGCCTAATCTACTTTCAAAGGAGCTGCAAGACAAACGAGCCAAGAGGTTGAGTTTTAAGTGTGACGGTAGGTGGGGCTTGTACCATGTGTGCCAAGCCAATCAGATCAGTGTGTTGTTGGTGGATGACGAGGAGGGGTAAGGAGATTTGCTAGCCTTAGAGAGGCTGGAAATAGAGGAGGAAAAAAATCCGGCGGTGATCTCCATCAATTCCTTGGTGGGGCTCTCAAATCTAAAAACATTGAAGTTAACCAGTAGCGTGGAAGGAGTGGATGTGGTGATGTAGGGAAAACTAGGTCGTTGACTAATCCTCCCTAAGGTCAAACAAATTTATAATCACTTAAACCTAA